CTATGATTACCTACTTCATGGGCATAGACTAAAGCAGCCAGAGGGCTGTTTAGATGATTTGTAAGTATTTTATAATTGTGATAATATCAAAGCATAATTGTAGCAATTGAATACATGTCTTGCTTATGGCAATTATTATATTTGCAGCTTGGAAATCTGGAAACCATGTGTTCTCAGGCCAACCTTTCTAGAGCATTCAACAAATGGGACATCAAACTCTTAAACTCTTCCTCTCATAGTTGCCTGCTTCATCTCATCTGGCTTATGACTTTCAGGTTAACAGGTTGATATGGGAAGAGATGCCTCCAATCATTTGAATATCAGCTTTCAATTGGGCCCCAAAACCTACAGCTAATGTAGGTAACAAAACAGTTGTAGTGCTCAGCCCCTATGGATTTCTGGCTGCTATATTTTGGGTTAACCATATTTACAAATTGTTTTTAAAGGCAATCTTACATGTAATTCATTGCAATATGCTGAACTGATTTAATCTTTTTAAAATTAGGCAAAGAAGCTATGATTCAAAATAAGCCAGGTTTGTCACTATTGACATGTTCAGTTTGAAATGGGTTAAAACAAAATTATCTATTCAATTGCTATACATTACTCCCAAAGGTTGTTTACTTGTCCTCAAAGGATTAACTTTGTCATCTTTCTATTTCTAACATTTCAGATACCCTAACAAACCCAACTTTTAATAGGACATTCACAAATGTTTGCCTTTTCCCCCCTTAATAATTATCCAGCTTCCTTCCTCATGGCATATTTTCCATTTCAGGTATGAAATCATGTATTCGTGTTGGAGGGCAGATCCTGTGGACCGACCTACCTTCTCAGAACTTAAACTTCACCTAGAGAAAATATTGGAAAGCTTACCTGCTCTGAGTGAACCAAGCAGTATAATTTATATTAACACAAACTTGCAGGAAGAGAATGCAAAAGAGCTAATGGAAGATTATGAGTTTCCTCAAATAGACACAGTCCTTGATCCAATTGAAATCATACAATCTTGTTCCCAGAGACCGGAGTCTACAGTAGTCACTGTGGATATCCATGAAAGCAGTGAAACAGGGGATAGATACATTTTAAATGGAGTCAATAGAGAGCACCAGGCCAGCCTGGTAAGAACAGAAGAGGAAGAAATGTCATTGCTTCAGATCACTCACTTGCAGGATGGGATGCAGTGGTCTCAAGCCAGCACACTCCCTGTAGGAAGCGCATTGACTAACGAACTGCTCTTTGCAGATGATTCTTTGGAGGAGTGTGAAATTCTGCTATGAAGAAAAACTAGCATTCTCTTATGAACTGCAGCTCAGAGACCCTTCTGAGCTAGAAGTGCTCTGGATAGCCATTGGACGTTCCCATCACGGAAAGCCATTCCTGTGTAGCATGGTCTCCCATCTTTGTATAGCAGATAACTTTAGAAGAAGCATTTGTATCTTTATAGAAATTATATTTTAATAAACAAATTTGGTAATGGTCTGTTTTATTTATTTTGAACACAAGTTTAATTTTTTTGGTCTCTTTTCTGTAACAGGTTCTTTTATGGATGGTTGTCAATAGAATATCCTCTGGCTCCTTCACAACTTCTATCTTACAGTAGATATTGATAGATATTAACCCACACACACATGTACAATACATGCATATAATTTCTGACCATTTTTTTCATTGAAAAATATGCCCATTCTCTTTTGTCAACACCTTACACAGTACACAATACATAGGAAGATGATAATAAGTGATATACACCAGCCATTCTCAACTTGGCACTTTAATCTAGCTGAGTAGGAATGATGCAAGTGTTAATTGAACACTCTGGATTACAATTCCTATCACCATTTGGGAAATACTAATGTCAAGAAGCAAGAATGTGTTGTGCCACATTCAAATCAGCAAATCTTTAAGTAGCTTTATATAGGGCTTTTGGGGGACAGCCTAGCTTATTAGTCCCCGCTGGCCAAATTTTTCAGAAGTGATTTGGGACTGAGAGAGAGGGACCAGGCAAAGGTGACCCTGCTGGTTTATATCTAAGACAGGACAGTTTCATGATTTCCCAGTTTCTTGCCTGATGCCTTAATCAACTACAGCAAACTGGCTGTCTTAGTCTTTCTTGATTTAGGTTGTGAGGTAGTCAAGAATATTTCTTCAAATTTTAAAAAGATGGCTTGCAGTTTTAAAAATTAAAAGGGAAAAACAATTGATAAACCAAGAAAATGACCTGGAAAATGTTTATTGATCTACAAAAAAGGCTTGAAAAAGCCTTGCAGAAATCAGTGTGATGAGATAAAGAAGAGAAATTGAATCCTTCAGAATATTTGATTCAATTAAAGAGTAAGACTATTAGAAGTAAAGGAAGGAATATAAAATAGTTTTTTAACCAGGGTTAAAATAAGATACTTTGTTTTTTTGCAAAGTTCTGATAACCCTTTTTGAACTTTTTGAACATCAGAATTGAAATTTTGATTTTTTTAAAATGTATTTGCTTATACATAACAGATGGAATATGGTACGAAGAGAATCTGTTTATAACCTTATAAAAGTGAAGAATACAGAGCAATTTTCAAGTAATCTGCAGGGATAAAAATGGAACATGTCACTATGTATCTTTACTTTCCCTTCTCTTTTTGCATGGAGTGAAGTAATTACACAGTAGATGGTGCTAGAGTTAAGGATAAACCAGTGCTGCTTGTATTGCATACCAGAGTATTGTACCTAATATGAAATTTAGTGGGATAAAAGCCCTGCCCTCTGATGCACAATAAAAAGGGTTGGAGGTTCAGTCACATTATTGTGATGGCCGTCTTGACTGTTTTTTTACCAGTTTTCTATGAACCCCCTTGGAATATTGGTTGACTGAGGGCATGTGGAGAAGGAAAAGGGTGATTTCTGGAAATAGGTCTGTAGGTGTAATGGGCAATAGGAATAACCTTGAACAACAGGAGGAAGAGCCAAGGCAATGGTCAAATAAAAAAAATCTGGGGCAGAAATGTAATTTGAGTAAGTGTCTCAGTCATGACCACCTTAGTTTTCATGAAGATACTGTATAGTAAAGGAAAGGAGGGAAGCACATTCAGACTTGCAAGATTCTGTTACTGTAACCTCATAATAAAGAAATATTAGCATTCGTAATTCCGGCATCCTAGTCTGGTCTACCTTGAAGAACTGACAAGGGGCATGAACTCCAAACAAGCTGTCACTTTTTTTTTCTTGGTTTATTGCATTCTGCATTAGGATCTACTTTTTGTTCAGTTGTCTTCTACAGTAGTACATTCTCAGTTTCTTAGAGCCAATTTCTCACCATAGGCAACTTTCCTTTTATAGTTTTACCAATTGCTGGTCCAGGTCTACATACAATTCAAAATGCTGAACAACATAAGAAGGAACCTAGTTTTCAGATGTCCCCTCCCATTCCAGTCTCCCAAGCCATTGCATGTGTCCTTATTTTATCCTCATATCTTTTTGAAATAGATAGGGCTGAGAGAGAGAAATAAAAAAATGAGGTTAACGGGCAAGTCAATATTTAAATAAATCTCAAACACTTTTATAGCATCTTCTAGAGCAAATAGGTTCTACAAGGAGGTAGATTTAGGATTGGAAAGGATTCTATGCCTCTTAAAGCATAGCTTGCATAGAGTTGCTTTCAGTTTTGCTGTGCTTTTTCGTTTTAAAGAATCAGCAACTTTTCCTTTGAGCCATTCTGCTGAAATAACAAAGTCCCACAATTGTACAGTAGCAAACCATTTTGCAGGGCCGATCGTTATTACTGAGTTAATTATTTAGAATCACGTCCAAATTAAATAACTATTATGAGAATAACCTCGATAAAGAGACCAAGTTAATGACCGATTGGGATGCCAGTAAAGCGGTCATGAGGGGGCTGTACTATACAATAGAGGAGAAGAAGAAAAATCCTAGGAGAAGATGCAAAAGCTATTGAATGAAATCAGAAAGAAAGAATTTGAATTGCAAAAAAAAACCAACCGTACTTTTTTTTCCCATTCCGTCTCCTGGTTTGCCCCCATAAATTATTACAGCGAATCCTTGGCGGGAAAGGACGTGCCAAAAAACCCTCTTAAATAATATACCAGTGATGGCGAACCTTTTAGAGACCGAGTGCCCAAACTGCAACCCAAAACCCACTTATGCATCGTCGGGTACCGGGTGGGTACGGCCCATTGGATGGCCGTGGCTGCGGTGGTAACAGCAGACTGGGTGGGACTAAAAAGTTCAATCAATCAATTCCAATTTTGCAAAATCTTTTTTTTTCCCACGAGAAGTTGAAATTGACTGATTGATTGAACCTTTTTTTTTTTTTGTACACAGCAGCAGAGGCCCAAAGCGAAAAGGTTTTATAAAACCCAGCTGAAGGCTTAGGACTGGGGCGACGGCGCACGTGCCTGCAGAGAGGGCTTTGAGTGCCGCCTCTGGCACCCGTGCCATAGGTTCGCCACCACTGTAATATACTATAGTTCAGTGTTTCTCAACCTTGACCATTTTAAGGCATGTGGACTTCAATTCCCAGAATTCCACAGCCAGCAATGCTGGCTGTGGAATTCTGGGAATTGAAGTCCACATGCCTTAAAATTGTCAAGGTTGAGAAACACTGCTATAGTCCCAAAGTTGCTGAGCAGCAGGTTGCGCGGGATGATGGGCGCGCTCGCCCTGGCCTGGGTGCGCTGTTGGAGAGAAGAGCAGCAGTTACAGCAAGCCAGCCCCCTCGAGAGGCAGCGGTCGCAGGTATGAACCTAAAAGGGGGGGGGAGCGGGAGCAACTCCCCCTTCCCCCCCCCGAGGGATCCGAAGCGGAAACCGAGGCGCGAGGCACTTCTCGCTCGCTGGGGAAAGCTGCCGCGCGCGCCTTAGCTGCTTGGCCGCCGCTCCCGCCTCCTGGCTGGGCAGGAGAGCTCAAGCTCCGCCGCTGGGCGAGCGGCAGTTGGTGCGGAGAAGCGCTCGGTCACTCGCTCCACTTTGCTGCCCGGCCATCGCAATAGTAGCAGCGCGCCAGCCATGATTTGTGGACGGCCACACGGTCTCAGCAGCCTCGTCCTCTTCTTGTGCCTAGCGACCGGGCAAGAGTTGCAGGCTTCCCAGGTAAGGGCTGTGCCGGGGCGCTTCTCTGCTACGCGTCCCCTTAGGTGCCCCGTTTCCTACCAGGCGTATATACTGTACTGGCATACTTTGCTTTCTGCACCGGATGCATGGAACTGTGAGAAGAGCCCAAGGGCCCCTTTTGCCCGTTTTTTTCTTTTAAAGAATTTGAACCTGTCTCCTCTTTTACCTGTTCTTTGTCCTGTTGTTTGTTCATTCGCTTGTTGTTGTTTTTTTGCTTTATTTTTTTAGCCAAGGCAATTAGGCAAATGTAAAAAGTGACTGGCTGGGTTACTTTTTTTAGTACAGCCTCACTTCAGGTCAAGCGGGAAGGGAGCCAGGTGCTTCCAGAGAAGAGGAGCCTTGCTCTAGCCCAGTGTTTCGCAACCTTGGCAGCTTAAAGATGTATGGGCTTCAACTCCCCAAATTTCCCAGCCAGCCAATAACAGAATAACAGAGTTGGAAGGGACCTTGGAGGTCTAATATTCCAACCTCCTGCTCAAGCAGGGAGCCCTTTCATAAAAATCTCCAGTGTTGGAGCACCCACAGCTTCTGGAGGCAATTCCTTGCACTGATTAATTGTTCTGTCAGGAAATTTCTAAGTTGGTTCTCTCCTTGATTAGTTTCCATCCATAGCTTCTTGTCCTGCCTTCAGGTGCTTTGGAGAATAGGTTGATCCCCCAGTTCTTTGTGGCAACCCCTCAGATAACTGCTATTTATGTCACCCCAGTCCTGCTTTTTATTAAACTAGACATACCCAATTCCTGCAACTGTTCTTAATATGTTTTAGCCTCCAGTCCCCTAATCATCTTTGTTGGTCTTCTCTGTACTCTTTCTAGAGTCTCAACATCTTTTTTATATTGTGATGACCAAAACTGGATTCAGTGTTCCCAGTGTGGCCTTGCCAAGGCATTATAAAATGGTACTAACACTTCATGTGATCTTGATTCTATCCCTCTGTTAATGCAACCCAGCACTGTGTTGGCTTTTTTGGCAGCTGCAGCACACTGCTGGCTCATATTTCAGCAACTGTCCACTAAGACTCCAAATTCCCTCTCACAGTTACTACTATTGAGCAAGGTACCACCTATACCAGCAAACCTTTTAGAGACCGAGTGCCCAAAAACTGGCCCCACCCCTGCTCCACCCCCTGCCCCGCCCCCACCCTGCCTGCCCACAGGGCTACTCACCGCCTCCAGGGCCCACTGCAGATCACCCAGCAGCGCCATGGCAGCGACGCCCTCTGCCCACGCCCCGCAGCATCAACTGTGCGTGATGGGACATGAGGGCAGAGTCTTGTCTACGCTGCCTGGCTGCCATGTCCTTGGCTGCACTGCTCCGCGTGGGCCATGCTCTGGGAAACTCTTCTCCAGGAGGGTTGCTGGTGAGGAGGGGGTTACGGGGGGAGGCAAGGCTGGGGCAACGGCACATGTGCCCACAGAGAGGGCTCTGAATGCCGCCTCTGGCACCCATGCCATAGGTTCGCCACCACTGACCTATACTGTACCTGTGCATTTAGTTTTTCCTGCCTAAATCTAGAACCTTACTTTTCTCACCATTGAATTTCATTTTATTAGATAGGGGCCAATGTTCAAATCTGTCAAGATCCTTTTGTATGTTGAGCCAATCTTCTGGAATGTTGGCTATTCCTGCCAGCTTGGTGTTGTCTGCAGATCTGATGAGTTCCCCTTGTAACCCCTCATCGTAATCATTGATGAAGATATTTTCATCGTGATGAAGGTCACAAAAAGGAAATGATAGAAGATGCAATGATAGACTGGCATGTAAAAGAGCGAGTCATAAATTTGATCAATAATATTGATACAGTCATTTTTATTTTATCAGGGAAAATATGAAAAGTAGCCTTGCCATCACAGATATCTTAGTTCCATGAATGCTAGCCAAGAGGAAGAAATGTGTGCAGCTCCAGACGTGTTGGGTTTACAATTACTTTCACATCCAAATTGCTATTATCAGGCTGCTAATTGCAAGGGAAATTGTAGTTTTTGTACATTACTTGTTCATTATATATCTACAATCCCTTGTTAGACTTGCAAATAAATTCAAATTTTGCTCAAATACCTAAACAAACCACATATTTAGTGATTTCAAATCACCTTATTGGTATACTAAAAGCAAGTTACTCAGTGTAACAAAGTTTACTGTGTTTAAGTATATAACTTTAAGTTAAACAGAATCCTTTCACAAAAAGATTATTATAGCAATATACAGCTTGACTTGCCTTTCTTGGGATCTGCTGCATACCATACACAATAAGCATCTTGGACAGGAAAAAGCTTCATTAACTATTTCCCAAGCCTGGCAAAAATGTAATTCTGCAATTTTTAAAAAGAAAAGTCTCATATAATGTCTGATTCTAGTTCCCAATATTAGCATTGACTTTGAGTAATGATCAAACTATTTCACAAAAAAATCCTTTTTATAGCATCTTTATCTGTTTCTTGCTGCTACATCACTTTACACAAGCTCATGAATGCCTGGATGTAGCTGTGTGCACATATGGATATATTTGTTGAGTGATAAACATACAGAAATAGATCTATGCACTGTTATTGTAGATGGAAGGATAGAACTACAAGTTAAGATGCGATTAGGAGTATCAGTACAGAGATAACATTTCTATGCCATAGTTATCATTGCTTTGAGAACAATGCAGCCTCTTAACATGAAAAGCCTTTCTTGGCTGCTTTCTCTGCACATATCTCAAGGCCAAAATACACAGGAATGTACATCTTGGTCCAGAAACAGAAATGCAAAACTGTGCAGTGATAGTAGCTGTTCAGTGGAACTCAGCCTTATGTCCTTGCATTTAATTGGCTGGACAGCCATTGATGACAAGTTTCCTCAAATGTCATTCAAAAATGCTTCGAATTTTCCTGCTGATCATTATGACATCCGTAGTAGTAGTAGTAGTAGTAGTAGTAGTAGTAGTAGTAGTAGTAGTAGTAGTAGTAGTAGTAGTAGTAATAACAATGACGACGATGATGATGATGTTGGAAGGTACCCTGGAGGTCATCTAGTCCAACCCCCTGCTTAGGCAGAAAACCCTATATCATTTCAGACAAATGGCTGTCCAATCTCTTCTTAAAAACTTCCACTGTTGGAGCATTCACAGCTTCTGGAGGCAGGTTGTTCCACTGGTTAATTGTTCTGTCAGGAAAGTCTGCTCGCTCATATCCATTCCTGTTTCTTCATGAGGCTCTCAGGAGTCAGTAGATCCTAATTTGACCTGAACTGTCCAGAGAGTTCAATCAAAGATTCAGTTTCTGGTTATCCTACTCCTTTTTTTTAGGAGTCAGTGGCAACTTTTCCAGCCTGATCTCCGCTGTAGACTGCAACTCCTAGAATTCTCATTTTGCATTTTACTGGCTCCGCAGCAGAAAATTCTGGGACTCATCTCAACACAGCTGGAGAGTGCACCAGATTGAGACAGGCTGCCTTAAGACACATAATTTGAAGACAAGATAGTTCCAAGGATCTATTATTGTCTGTCTGGAATATTAATGACTCAAGTAGAAACCTAACAAAACTTTATTTGCTATATATAGAAATTACAGTTGTACTTTATCTATCCTATTGCTTCTTGGCAGTTTCAGCTAGAACAAATTATAATCTGTTATATAATACCAGAGACATTGTGAAGAATAGGAACTGATTCTGTGGGAAAACAAATTTCCATGGACCAGGGGAGAATGGTTTTGCACGCTACTTAGATCCTGCACAGGCACAGATGAACTTCACTCGCTTTTATGGCCCAGTTCCTAATGGGTCATGGACCGGTACAAAAAAATGGGGTTGGGGACCTTTGGTGTAGGATATGTACAAAGACACTTCAAATGTATGTTGGAAATGTGGACAAGAAGGGACATTTTATCATGCTTGGTGGATATGTAAGCAAGCTAGGAAATTTTGGATTCAAATATATATACTAATTTAGAGGATTTTAAAAGTTGCTCTACAACTAAGCCCAGCTCTTGAGGCAAATAGTTGGGAAAAAAGTAATGGAACTTTGTTTTTGTATATGGTAACTGCAGCCAGATTATTGGATGCACAAGGATAGAAAGATCTATGGAGGAATGGTTGGTGCATAGGATGGGACTTACTGAGAGGGGCAAACTAATTTCTTTGATTAAAGACAATCTATATTTATTGATGACTGGAAACTCCTTGTGAATATGCATAAAAGAGAAAAATTAGCTTACAGTTTGTGGTTTCGATAATTAGACAGAATAGAATATAGAAAGAAGACAGTCATGAAATTTAGAGAAAGATAAATTTATAATTGTACTTATAACAGCTATGAACAAGATTGGAAGCTACTTCTTTGTATCTTTTCCCTTCTCGGTTTTTCTATCACTTTTTCTTTCATTCTTATATTTGAGTTTTCTAATTTTTTTTCTTGCTTACTTTATATTAATGGCTTTTACTTTGTTTTTAAAACTTTTAATAAAATTATTTTATAAAATTACAATCTAATATCGGGTAGAGCCAAACTATTAAATAGCAATGATAAACAATATTATAAAACATTCATGTCTATAGCAGCATTATGCATATTCTTTTAACACAATAACTTACATGTTGGTGAGTAGATTGTTTTGTGGGTGTTCATTAAGAAATGCCTGATATTACTTTTTCAGCTTGTTATCATTGTTCAATTATGATTTTCCTAAAATGGTATTGGGCAACTTGTTCTACTTGCAAAAAATTAAAAGGCTAGTCTTTTTAAGCAATGCAGGATATAAATAATCTGGAGAAAACATTGGAATACATCATTTTCAATATACATCAAATGTTATGGTTTGCGAATGTAACATGTTTATATCAGTGGTGGGATTCAGCCGGTTCGCACCACTTCGGCAGAACCGGTAGCTAATTTTTTGTTTCCCAGGCCCAGAATGGACTTCCGGAAGCAGCATCCACACAGAGAACCAGTTGTTCACATATTTGAATCCCACCACTGGTTTATATGAATCAATCGGTATTTTTTCTCTCTTTTCCATAGAACTGCATAACAAAACAGCAACTCCTGGCTACTATCCGGCAAATGCAGCAGTTTCTCAAAGGCCAGGAAACACGATTTGTTGAGGGACTACGCATCATGAAACACCGACTCACAACTCTGCAGAACACTGTGACTAAAGCCATCCCAGACCCACAAACTGGTAAAAAAGAATACAGAGCTTCAGAGGAGGAGGAAGGAACCTTGTTCAGGTTGAGCTCATGGACCAAAATGAAATTGTAGGATAAGAAGGACACTCTTGGCATCTTATATCCATGACTCATGCTTTCCTAAAAACAGCCACCTCACTCTTTGGCTGGCTATACAAAACACAAAAACATAGTTAGCTAATGTGTGGGTGGTTGGAAAATCAGATAATGGGATTTGTTTATGGTTCAGCAGATTACATAAATCAAAGCAAATTAATTCTGGATTAGTATGGGATATAATTACAACTTTTTACTTTTTATAATAAAAGCTCAGAAGACAGTGCCCAGTCCTCTACTCAGCCTTCTCACTGGCTGTGCTGGCTAGGAACTACAGTTAAACATGTCTGAAAAATGTCAGATTGGATAGTGCTGCATTATAATAACTTTGGACTTGCTGTCAAAATCTTCTGTGTGAGATCTCCACGTGCATGGAAATATATTACAGAAGAAACAAGGGATCTAAATAATCAGTCCTAAAGAATTTGAGGTAGGTCACTTTTGACAAGTGACACTACTCTCCTGCTTTACTGTAAGCTTTGCTCATGCATACAGATAGGTCGCTATAGGAAGAGAAGATCATTTTGCTTCCTGAAACATTCTTCAAAGGCATTTCTAAGTCATATGAGATTATACAAAGCCACATTCTTCTGAAAGCAACAGAGTATAATGCTGCAGTGTCTATTTTTTTGCACTTATATACCGAGTAAGGGGGAAACAGGCACCCACCCTTTCACCCACAAATCCATTCCTGCGTAAGTAGCATACTACTGGAACCCTTCGCAGAGCATGCAAAATGAACCTTTTCAGTGGTACAGTCCCACAATTAAAATAGTTGTCACCCAAAAAATTAACCAACATGCTTCCTCCAAAACAACTGTAACATGACAAGAGCTAGTAGCTATCCACCAGCCATTCCTTTTTAAGACAGCCATTTTATCCTTCAGTGTAGGGCAAGCAATAGTCGCAGATGTGCTTTTGACCAGTGTCAGGAGCATAGGACTTCTCATTGAACCCTCAATGGAGTCTTTCAAGCAGCAGAAATATTCCAAAATATGAGAAAACCTCTATCTCTATCCACACACAATATTTACACTCTTGGTTAATTGATTTATTCCAGATTTCTTCAATGTCCAATGAGGACAACCTATATAGATCTGTAATGTGCGATATCACATTCCAATATTCCCTGGACATCACAGTCATGGAAGGGCACTCAGGGTGGAGAAGGCATATTTATTGAGTTAATCCCATGTTACAAGTTACGCAAAACACTCAACCACCACAGACAAATCTCTTCACCTAAGTTCGCACAACACATAGGGCTAAAATGTGATTGTTTATTTCAGAGCTGGATATATCATGTAAACTCATGCATTATATAGAGATTGTGAAGCATCCAAAGTAATACTCTGAAATAGGCTTAATATAATTGTAAAAAAACAAAATGCTCTCTCTTCCCCAAAAAACTCTTTATCAAGATTTTTACATCACACAAATGCAAAAGAGTCATTTCAAATATGTTATTTCTATTATCTATAATTTCCAGCTAACTATGATGTTATTTCCAGCTAACTATGATGTTTGGAAATTATGAGTTGAATGTTTCTGGGGGATGCATAGTTTAATCTGTTCATAATTGAATTATGCAACATTTTAATGATATGGACAATTTGAGCATTCCTAAATTAATCAATTTACAGTAAATGGATGAGATCAGGAAGGCATGGTATGACTTGTGAGAAAGATGATGTTTGAGTTGCATTTTAAGTTACTAAGTCTCGTGTACATATACAGATCTCACGTGGTTAGAGAAGGTCTCTGAATGGTTGTCTTATTCCTTCTGAGGCCTACTAACATCAGTCTGTTGCCAAACTCTGCTTGCAGTGTTTTGTTCTACATTGGAAGCTCCGGTGAATGGCAAAAAATTTGGCACGAAGAATTTGGTGGATCATGAAGTCCATTTTACCTGTGATCCTGGATTTCAGCTTATTGGTTCCAGTTCTCGAGTGTGTCAGCCAAATGGCAGCTGGACTGGAAAAGTTCCACACTGCAAAGGTACTGCCTTACTATTTGTTGGCTGGGACACAGAAACATCCCATCTATTTGTCAGAATAAATTTCTACATGTGTAGCTAGTAGAATGCCATCATAGCTATCGTGCCTATATAAAAAGTTGACCTAGAGGAATATGCTAAATGGAGATCAACTAAAATATAATATTCAAACTGCATGGACACAACTGATGTGACACTTTACATATTCTTATGTTAATAGTAGCCTGGTGGGGGGGAACCTGATCACTCTGCAGCTTTAGTGGGATATCAGAGAACAGGAAGGTTGAGTTTAAGAGAGGAAAATTAGAATTAATTATTTTAATTTCAGAATAAGGAATAGCTTAGTGACATCATTGGAAGCATCCTGAAAAAGCTGATCCAACAACATACATT